CAAGTACCAAATCACAGATCTCACGTTTATAAATGGCATTCGCAACTTTAAGGACCTCAACGAAGATATTGGAGCTGAAACAAAAACGGGGAGGGGAAAGCAACAACCTGACGGAGGTGGCATTCGAACAAGCATAGACGAAAACGAGAGCCCAGCTTTCATGTATGATTACAAGGCTGCGCACAAGTTTGCCGTGGAGGATCTCGAGGCCGCTCTTGAAAAGGAGACGCTGTTCATGGATGTCTACGAGTGGGCGCAGACCGACCAGTACGAAACAGACTCGACGCTTCGAACGAAAGAGCGAGAAGCAGCGCGGATTGCCATGGCCCTGATACAAGTCTTCAATTATATGTTGTGGTATGGGGTCGGGTATGGCTATGTCGCCGCTGGAAAATCTTTGGTGCTTCTTTATTACGACCGAGCCGAGCCACTTGTTTTGCGCTGGCACCTTTGCGTGCCAGACAAAATGGTGATTCGTCCAACAGCTGAGCTTCATGTCGAACAAGTGTCTCAGACTGCGGTTGCTCAGCTTGCCAGCTTTTGTCTGTTGAGCCTCCGCTCTCAGGCGCTTACGGGCCGTCCGCTCAAGGAGGCAATGAATCAGGCCGAGGGCATTCTGAAAAAAATGGAAAATGGAAGCTTACACGGAACCGGTTACTCCGCAGGAGTCAGATGATACAGATTTATCTTCGTCTATGCCCTCGCGCGGCACAGATAAATCCTTTGCTTGTGATGAATCTCCGGTGGCTCGAAAATACCCTTTGCGATCGAAGTCATCGTGCAAGGATTCTACGGCGCCTCTCGAGTCGCGCGATGAGGACGAAGAAGGCGGAGCAGAGGGCTATCAACGCCAGCGCGGAGCAGGAGCCAGCGTCAACAAGGGAGAGAAGGACTCCAGTAGGAAGAGCAAATACAAAGGCACCGGAGGCTCTGCTCCGGCGCCCACGAAACAATACTGCACACAAGCCTGCCTTCTTGGCCTCAAGCTGGGTCGTGAACTAGACAGCAGGTGCCCTAATGTGATCTATCACGGTGTTGGCGGCAACACATACCACCCGATCGACGCTCAGAAGTTGACTAAACTCATGAGCGAGCAGCTGCGTCAGGACCCGTACGGGAGCTGTGATGCCCTCATCGGCCGGCGCAAATATGGTTCCAGTGGAGTGCTGTTCAAGTTAGAACTGGCACGCTTCGGCTACACTTTTGTCGGCAAGGGCACCGTGTCCGCACGTCCGAGGCGCCTGGAGCACGAGTGCAGTATCTATCAGCGACTTGAAAAGCTTCAGGGCGACGTGGTGCCTGTGCACCTGGGCATGGTCTCGCTCCGTCCTGGCTACCTCTTGCCTGGCGGTGCGTACGTGATCCATATGATGTTGATGTCATGGGCTGGGGTGGCGATGAATACAACGCTGTCAAATCTGGAATGGGAGGTGCAGAGATCCATACAAACGATCTATGAGCATGGTGTGAACCACCAAGACGAACGTGAGCCCAACCTGCTCTGGAACGCTGAGCGATGCCGCGTGATGGTGATCGATTTCGATCAGGCAACACTCCTACCACCACCTAAACACAAGCGATTGTCTCAACTTTCTAAGGCGGGAAGGAAACGGAAGGGGGATGAGTTTAACTATAACAGCACGAAGCGGGGTGTGCCTGGTGTGCTGAGACGTTCTGTACAATCTGTACAATAGGCTTGGACACGTTCACGCCGGGGAAGGACCCCATGCGATAAAGAAGATGTTATCGTGGCTAAGACGAATTTTTTGGAGCTGAATTGGTGCCATATTGGGTGCAAGGCGTTGGTGGCCTGAACCTTTCTCGCCGTCAATTTTGACCTGCGGGTCGTCTATTCCAGCCACGAGTGTATTTCGTTCCATTTCTTTTTCTAGTCAACTTCTGCCACAATTGTAACAGGCTGAGGGGTGTCTCTAGTCTAGCCCGTCTACTTCCTGGTGTTTTACCTCGTCCGCTTGGTGACTTTTGCATCGTCCACTTGCTTTCCTTTTCTTCCCTTTTCGGTACCGTGTGCTTCCAGAGGGGAGTGTCGTTACGGTTAGCGTCCATTTTAGTTCTCATTTTCTTCACGACCTATTGTATCCTTTTTGCGCAAACATTTTCTGACAAACGAAGCAGAAGCGAAGAGAGTTGCATATCATGGTAAAGTGTCTTAAAACAGTCCAAGTTGAACGGTTCAGCTTGCACCATTATACGCCGTTCAAGCTTTGCTCGCAGAAGCTGCACACAATTCGAACCAGCCTACTTCTTGCCGCTCCATCATCGAAAACCTGTCCATGATCTAAATGTGGGAACCATTCCACTTCCAACCCATCATCTCGACACGCTTCGTCTTTCCAAGACCCTCTCTTTAGGGTTGTGTCTTCCGAGCCCGTCAGATACGCCCGAATAGCTTTCGTATCGGTTACTATGTCTCTACCAGCCAATGCGACGGACACTCGATGCTTGCTAATGTCTTCCTTCCACAAGACGTTATCAGCCCAGAAGAAGCGCCGGAACAACGTATGGGAGATGCCCATGTCCTTAGAACCAAAGTAAGAGAGGAGGTATTCATTAGCCCGGCGTGGTTTGCGACAGATCTTCAGCATCAGAAGTTAGCGAAAGATATCAGTTTGTAGTTAGAGCAAGCATACAAAATTATAAGCCACATCAGGCAGGTGGAGGAGGAAAGACACTGGGTCAACAAACAGAACCGGTCCAATCTTTTGCGCAATCTTTGGGCTGCAGAGGAGATGCGCCGCAACTACACTCCCATAACTGCAGAAGGTCAAGGTTAGTATATAGCTATATCCATGAGGATTGAAGCGCCAGGAATATGGCCACTTACGAATGCGATACCAGGACACATTTGCCCCATCCGTGTGCCTCTAATATGCTACGAATCTCGTTGCATATTTCCTCTTTTGACATTGCCTCTGCCGTTATTCTAGAACTGACAGACATAATCTCTATAGCGATGATTCCCACTTGCCCGTCAAGTGAACTCTTAGCACCACTGGCATTAATGTCAGCCAGGAAATCTATATATGGGTAAAGACCGATGCCGATGCCATGAACGAATAAGACAGGCAGTCTAGTCTTCGACATATGCGGCCGGTGCCAGTATGTGAGAGATTCTGCAGGAGAGCGATAGCTGGAAAAGACATTGTGAGGGCGTGCGGGGAAGATAGCTAAAGAGCGCAGAACTGATGAGCGGTAGAAGTCAAAGGAGTGGTACCGCAAGTAAATCGACGTTAAAAGATCGACAATGAATACACACTGCAACGAGAACATCAGCAAATTGACTTATATAGAATGCTCATGCTGCTGTAGAAACTTACTGAATACCACGTCAAGCTTCGATGCAACATCTCAACCTTGTCGAGAGTCAGTTTGAGGCACTCTGCCCTGCCTCGTCCAGGTTCTAACTCTCTCCCCAACAACGTCTCCATCTCTCTAACATACTCCTCCAGTTCATCCTCGTCTGCCTTTTCAATTTTCCCCGTGTTTAAAAAAGCCCAGCGGAAGAAATCCTTGACGTTCTCTCGCTTAATTTCTGCCTCTGCAGCACCTCGAAACCATTTTCTCAGATATTGGACCGGATCAGGAATCGTTTCATGGCAGCGCTTGAACAGCTTCCTGCGATCCTCACGGCAGGGTAGCGCGGGGTGCCTAGCGGCCTTCTGTAGGTATTCGTTGTACGGTAGGTAGACGACAAGATAAAAGCCAGCCTCGAAGGCGAGCCACACCTGAAGAGCCTGGGGAACTTGGAAGGGAAGGCCAACCAGCACGTTGGCCAGAGTATGAATGACACTGATAGGTGCGATAAGGTGCAGGAAGAATATGCATGCCCGGATGAAGATGTAATCCCATAGCGATGTTCCTATCATGGTAGATAACAGAACTGACACGGCGCGAATGCTCGCGTTGTTGCGATCTCAAACTAATAGGTGCAAGTATTAGTTACAAAGGTCCTTTGCAATCCATTGCGCAAGGTAATGGGGTTGTCAAAGTTTTAAAGAAAACAACGAATTCTGTGGCGAGAGTGGTGAGCATAGTCGAATCAATATACCATGTTTGTTGAACAAACGGGAAGCCGATTCTGTTGGGGCTTTCACATGCAGTCCCACATTTGCATAGTGTACTTCGCGCCGCAGATGGGAGAGAATTAGCATGTGAAGCACGATGTTGGAAGAATTCAAGTTTTGAAATCATTCTGATGTCATACTGCAATGGCGACTGTGGTGGCTCGTAACTACTCCCGTGTCTGGTCCTTCGCCAGCTATCATACCATTTGGGCTGGGGGCTTGGGGCTTTAACAGGTATCGGCAGATAACAGCCGCGCATTAAGGGCCCCTCACGGTATGGTGGTGGGAGCATGACGTCTACAACACAAAAATAATAAGCCGCCTTAGTATAATAATAGATGTTGTTTTGGTGCCGGCTGATGTCTGGCGATTGAGAGTCCGAATTACTCCTGCCTTAGTCAAACGCAACGCTTACAATGCCCCCTGGAGCCAAGTGCCACGCCTCGTCTGCGGATGTGAACTCGTATAACCTGCCAACGCACATCAGCGTGCTGGCAAGTATTACTTGATAGAGATCCTGCCGCCCCGGAATGAAACACCGTCCAATAGCAGCAAGACACCTAACCAGTTAGGGCATCGCCGATAGTCCGATCTCTCTTGTGACGTTTTGTACGCATTACTTATTAATGTTGTACATTCCTTCCCTAGCAACGTATACATACGAGCTCAACTGAAACTGTTAAGCAGATCAGTGCTGAAGCAGATAACTCTCCGCGCCGCGTTTTGTTGCACGATGGCGTTTTCATGTACAGTCGCAGGGCCAGCCCGGTGCAGGACTGTGACGCCTCAGCCAGCGCTGGCCCTCAAGCCTCTACCGCTGACAGCCTTACCGGGGCATGGCTGCAGGCAGGTGGTTGCCAACACAGGGGCATCCACGCCCATTTGAATGCCACCCTCCAGCTCCGACAGCCTTCCAGCACCAGCACATACCGAGACAGGTGCTGCGATAAACGTAAGTGTGCTGAGCCAATCAATAGCTGTGTCCTGGGCCAGTGGGTATCCTGGATAGCTGCTTGGTCTGGTGCCCTGACCGGGCCTATTCTTACATATTCATAGTCATCTATTTCGACTGGGCTTAACCGGAGAGAGCATGGTTGGGACAGCACCACGCTAAAGTTCTCCCGGCTGTGCATATTCAACAGCTACAGCACATGACAGTGTGTTGCCATTAAGTGCAAACTGTACCATTTCACTGCGGTCACGGTTTTTTCCAAATACAGTTCGTCTGTTGTAGCTGGATGCAGCCACTTTCCAATCGGAGATCGTTCCTGCAAGATTGGGGAGGGGTGTAAGGCTGCATTGTGGCACTCTCACTTCGTGCGAACTCCCGCCAAAAGAGCCGTCAACACGCATGGCGAGATACGTTATTCTCTACGGAGAGCTCTACGGAGAGCCATGAGTTCCTTACTTTGTAGTCAATAAAAATTTACTATCATTTTCAAGAAGAAAAAAAAATCGTATGGAGACCCAGCGCCCCACAACAACAGTCAGGTTGACAGATGAAACAATGGCGCTCCGAAAACAACACCTCCAACGAGTTAGCTGACTGCCACAAAAATAAGAGCGTTACCCTTACGCACGCAGTGGGGCAAGTCACTAGCGTGCTGGGCCATAAAAGCCCTGCTGCCCCCGAATTGCGTCACGCCGACTTTTTCGTCTCCAACAACACAGGTCTTATGTCTGAGGTTATTGCAAAGCTCTTGAGGAAGGAATTACACAGAGCTACTGATGTATCGAAGGTTGTCGAAATAGCGTCTACTCGTTTCGCCAAACTGTCTAACTCGTCTTGCTAGCTTGTTGACTGTGTTTTGGGGGTTCTTTCTCATGATAGTCGTTGCCGGGGTGAGCTGATCCGGAAACTCGAGCCCACGCCCGACGTCATCATTCCTTTGAGCCTCGTAGCCACACCAACAAGCTCTGCTTCTGAACATGATCCCGGCGCACGAGACGTGACAGTCGATCCAAACACCCCCGCGCCGAACACCGACCGGCCCATTACGCGATCGTCGCTTGCTCATGGAAAAGACAAAATTGCCAGCAATGCGGAAGTCGAGTGTATATCCGAACGTAAGCGGCGTCGTGCACGAGACGACACAATAGAGAGG